AAATCTAGAACTTTTCAAGAACCGTACGTGGGGGGAAAAATGATTGAAAAATCTCATTAATGCACATAGGTACAAAATTCTTTAGAGATTACCAAACTGGACCTAGCTTTTAATTTTATACGTTATAAAGTGGCTGAGTTTTGTTTATTCCAGGAATATAGGATGGTTTGATAGAAAGTCTATTAATGTAACTCACTACATTAATAGATTGAAGAGGTGGGTAGGAGTCAGGAACAGACCACAGGTACAGAGAAGAACAGTCTTTTCTTTTTTTTTCTTAAGTAGCTTTTTCTGTGTAACCAAACCACAAAATTTCTGTGATATAAAACAAACATTTATTTTTCATACATCTTGGGTAAGCTGCGGGCAGCTATTTTGGGCTGGGCTCAGCTGGTCAGTGAGTCAGCCATATCCACAGAAGTCTCATTATTCTTGGACAGCTGGCTAGTTATGGCAAGTCCATCTCATGGCAGCGCAGAAAATTAAAAGGGCACATTCAACAGGACAAACACACATCAAGCCCCTCTACCTGCATAATGCCTGCCATCATCCAATTGGCAAAAACAACTTGGATGTTTGAGTTCAAAGTAAAAGAATGGGGAATTATACTCTCCATAGCGTGGATACCCTAGGAGGACATGTGGGTATTTTATTACTTATGATTTACAAATGTGACATATATGTACATATATTACATGTTTATTATGTGCCAATTTATATACACATGGAATGTGGTACATGCAAATAAAACTTAAATTCACAAATTAAGTACACTTTGGGATCCTTCTTATTTACTAGGCTCACAATCTTATCCGAAAAGGAAATGGAGTTAGTTTGGCAGAAGGTGTTCGTCATGATCATCTCTTTCATCTTTACTTTTTCCCATTCTTTCAACCTCTTCCAAAAAGAATTTAAAGAGGTTTACAAAGCACTGAGACAAAATAAATTTATAAGCAGAAAACAAAGAAAAGGGAAAATAAGGTTACCGAAGCAAGATGGAGCTAGAAATGCTATTAGTACTTGGCTGGATATTCTGTTCGCTCCTCTTATCCTCTTCCCACCCTTCTCCACCCGTTTATTAGCTCCTGCATGTTGGGCTTCTCCTCTAGCTACAGGATTCACTGAGTTCTGATGACCACTCTGTCTTGCTGCCTGAGGCCAGAGGCTGGTAACACACATTTCCTATGAACTTCCTTGCCGACCCCCTTCAATCTTGCCACATCTTTGTAACATGAAACTCTCCTGACTTAACCTTTTCAAAAGTGCCATGTGCCTGCCAGACACCCTGACTGCAACAGCCCACAAATTGTACGCCTTAAGTCTAAATGCCTGCTAGAAGTAGATGACAAATGCAGTTCTAAGGTCTCAGTGTGATTACTGTCGACTTAAAAAAAAAAAAAAAGCACAATGTGAGAGTTGTGAGTTAAGCTTTATTTGGAGCAATGCGAAGACGGCAGCCCAGGAGACAGCACCTCAGACAGCTCTGAGACTTTGTTTCAAAGAGGTAGGAGGAAAGGACAGTATATATGTGATTTTGGTAAAGGGGGAATACATGCAATTAAGCACTTTTGTGTGTGTGTGTGTAATTTCTTCTGGTCTTTCGAAGCTTCTGCTAGTCCCAAGACACAACTGTCACCAAGCAGGATTTTAGTGCTTTTTCTAGTTACGAGGAGATACAAGAACTGGGCTCATAAAATCAGTTCTAAGAATATCTAACTATCTGAAGACCTGTCCTGCCAGTTTTCCCGGAGCACAGAGTGCCTCATTTCTGCTCTCCACCCTGAACTCCTCTGGGTGGTGTTGAAGGTCAGCAGCTGCAGCAGCACATGATTTAAACCTTGTAGAGGTAGATGGCGGGCACCTATGGCAAGGGCCAACTTACAGCTGACATTACCAAGTGGGAAATACAATCAATAAAAGAATCTCCAGTCACTCTAGAGAAGCAGATCTACTCTGGATGGGTAGAAACTTACCTGTCATTCTACCCTGACGGCTAAGAAACTTTCTGTGACTTCTCAGTGGCAACTCTTTGTAGTATAACATCCCCATTCTCTTCTGTCTCACAGATCATCTCCAACTAGTCAGGGCTCAGTTCTCATATACCTTCTCCTCTTATCCACACTCACTCCCTAGTTGATTTCACCTAGTTTCATGGCTTTATCACACACATGCTCATGACTCCCAGTATGTATCTCCAGTCTTGACTTTTCTCTGAATTCCAGTTTTCACTGTCGAAGCTCTTCCATTGTTTATCCAACGGGCACCTCAAACTCTTGGCCTGTCCAAAACAAAACTTTCCAGTCTTCCTCCATCTCAGTAAAGAACCTAGCATTTTTTCACTTGGTTTCTAAGGTGTGTGGATTGGTGACAGAGGGGCTGGTGGAAATATATCATCCTTGATTCCTTTTTTCTCACACTCCACATCCAATGCAGCTGCACATCATGCTGGCTCAGATATTCAAAACTATATTCAGAATCTGACCAATTCTCACCAATTCCATCACTCCCACTCTAGTCCCCAAAGGCCCAGTCTCTCTTATACCACTGTATTTTCTAACTGGCTTTCTTCCTTCTGTCCTTGCACCTTTCCAGCGCCCCACATCTAGCAGCAAGTGTGATCTTTTAAAAATATGTCAGATCATGTCATCTTGTAATCAAAATCCTCCTGTCACTTACCATCACACTCAGAATGCAGGGTAAAGTTTCAACTATGGCCTGTAAGGCCTTATATGAACTGACCATCGATGTTCTGTGAGCAGGTCAAACAAAGTACTTGAGCTCTCAATAGTTTTGTATTTGCTGTTTCCTCTGATAGAAATGCTCATCGCCAGGTATCTACATGCTTCCACCACTCACTTCATTTAGGTCTCTGCTTAAATGGCAACTCCTCAGAGAAGCCTTCCCTGGTCACCGGCTCAAAATAGCCCCACCATTCCTATTTCTTACTTTACTTTTCTTCACAACAGTAACCAGTACCTGTTGTTGTTTAGTTGCTAAGTTGTGTCTGACCTTTTTGTGACCATATGGACTATATCTTGCCAGGCTCCTCTGTCCAGATTTCCCAGTCAAGAATACTGGAGTGGGTTGCCATTTCCTTCTCCAGGATATCTTCCTGACCCAGAGATCAAACTTGAGTCTCCAGCATTGCAGGCAGAGTCTTTACCACTGAGCCACCTGGGACACCCATGATCAGTACCTGAAAGTGAAAGTGAAGTCATTCAGTCATTCATTCTGACTCTTTGTGACCCCATGGACTGCAGCCTACCAGACTCCTCCATCCATGGGATTTTCCGGGCAAGAACACTGGACTGAGCTGCCATTTCCTTCTCCAGGGGATCTTCCCAACCCAGGGATCAAACCTGGGTCTTCCGCCTTGTAGGCAGACACTTTCACCGTCTGAGCCACCAGGGAAGTCTCAGTACCTGACATTACACTAATATAAATACATGATTACTGCAACTGCCTTTCCGTTTAGAATGTTAAACGCTAGGAAAACAATGGTTTGTTTCCTTTACCCCCAGGATCTCTGGTGACAGATATGGTGCTTGACACATAGAAAGTGAAAGTCACTCAGTTGCGTTCAACTCTTTGCAACCCCATGAACTATGTAGTCCATGGAATTCTCCAGGCCAGGGTACTGGAGTGGGTAGCCTTTCCCTTCTCCAGGGGATCTTCCCAACCCCGGGATCGAACCCAGGTCTCCAGCATTGTGGGCAGATTCTTTACCAGCTGAGCTACCAGGGAAGCCCAAGAATACTGGAGTGGGCAGCATATCCTTTCTCCAGGGGATCTTCCTGACCCAGGAATTGAACCAGGGTCTCTTGCATTGCAAGCAGATTCTTTACCAACTGAGCTATAACGGGAGCCCTTGACAAATAGAGGGTTCTTGATAAACATTTGCTAAGAGTATGAAAGACTCCAACTCTAGTTCATCTTGTTCCTTGACTCACACTCAAGAAGACCCAAGAAATATTTGAGTTCTCAATTATGTGAGTGTCACTTAGCTAGATGCTTCAGTTCAGTTCAGTCACTCAGTCATGTCCGACTCTTTGTGACCCCATGGACTGCAGCAGGCTAGGCCTCCCTGTCCATCGCCAACTCCCAGAGTTTACTCAAGCTCATGTTCATTGAGTCAGTGATGCCACCCAAATATCTCATCATCTGTCTTCCCCTCCTCCTCCTGCCTTCAATCTTTCCCAGCATCAGGGTCTTTTCCAATGAGTCAGTTCTTCCCATCAGGTGGCCAAAGTATTGGAGTTGCAGCTTCAGCATCAGTCCTTCAGATGAATATTCAGGACTGATTTCCTTTAGGATGAACTGGTTGGCTCTCCTTGCAGTCCAAGGGACTCTCAAGAGTCTTCTCCAACACCAAAGTTCAAAAGCATCAAAGCTAGATGCTTAGAGCTTTAAAAATCTAAACAGTCTCTGACTGGAACTGTGACTTTTGAGGGGAGTAGTGATTGGGCGAAGTCTGTACAACCTGCCTGCCAGTGAGCAGTGCTAACCCTCCAAAGTGCTAAGACTGGCAAACCGGTGAAAAGGAAAAGGGCAGGCTGTATCCTGCCTGCCTTCTGACATGAAAAGTCCCACAGATCATGGGCCTTTTTCAAGGCCCCGGACCACCTTCTCAATCTGGTGCTAACCTGTGGAGATGCTCCACCTGTTAGGGAGCTTATCCCTGACGTGAGAGAGCATTGCAGCGCTTAGCCTAGGGCAAAAGCTGGAAACAATGAGACAACCTTTATGTTTAGGTTCTTAACCACGTAGCTCGAGGACATGAACGCTGCTCTTACACGTTTGGCGCGAACAATTAGCTGTAAACTGCCCACTGAACCTCACAAAGCCAGCGCACGCCCCACCCGCGCTCAGTGCCGCTAGCGCGCACGCGCAACAGAGAGCGCCGCCACGCAGGCGCACTGCAGCCCGGAACACCGCAAAGTCGGCACTGGCTCCCCGCGGGCGAGCAGGCAGGCGCGCGCGCGAAGAAGGGGGCGCGCGCCATGGAGCAGCGGTTAGCTGAGTTCCGGACGGCCCGGAAGCGAGCCGGGCTGGTGGCTGAACCCAGCACTTCCAGCCAGCGAACACAAACTTCGGGCGAGAAGGCAGAAGCAGCTACCACTCCAAAAGCACCCTCAGGCTGGCTAAAACGGTTCCTGGCGTGGAAACCGAGGCCAGCGAGTGCCCAGGCCCAGCCCAGCCTTGCTCAGGTGAGAGGAGGGAGGCCTTACCCCTCAGGCACCTGGCTTCTGAAACGCCGACGTGGCCTCCGAGGCGCCTTTGCCGAGGCCCCGCCCCGGCATCACGTGGTGGCCTGCAGGCCCCGCCCCCACGTCGTGGAATGGCCCGGTCCAGGCCACGCCCCCCGGGCCTGGAGAAGCCGGTGGACAGGAGAGTCTATGGGGTCACAAAGAGCCAGACACGACAGAGGGACTAGCACACTTTCGCTAGCAGAGAGGGGCCGCTGGCGCCCCCCGCCGGCTCGGCAGCGAGGCCTCGCGTTTCCTGCCCGCTCCTGTTCTGCCCTGAAGAGTGACTTTGACATTTTCCTTCCAGCCAGGGACCCGCGCAGCTTCGACTCCAGGCGGGAAGTTGAGGGTCTAGGCTCCCAGAAGAAATCACTTCTGCCCTTGCGTTATTCACAGCGAGTTGAGTGGTCGTTGTGGCTTTGGGAAACCTCTCCACAACCGTAGGGGGCCACAGCCCTCTGCTAATGGAGGGAGAAAGGTCTAATTGGATGCTGATGAGAAGTGGCAGTAATTAAAGCTTGATTTGATTTCGCATCTGGGCCACGTGCCCAAATAGCCTGCGCTTTCGAAATGGTGTTTGAATACAGAACTGGCAGAAGTGTGCTGACTGCCTGTGGTGGCATGTGTTGTGTATCACTGTTGAAGTAGCGAAGCCTATTCAAATTTAACAATGTTTAAGGCGAAAACCATAGATTGGTATGATAGCTTTTTCAACCTGTTGTGTTAGTCGTTAAGTCGTGCCCGACTCTGAGATCCCATGCTCTGTAGCCCGTCAGGCTCCTCTGTTCATGGCATTCTCCAGGCAAGAATACTGGAGTGGGTAGCCATTGCCTTCTTCAGGGGATCTTCCTGACCCAGGGATCCCACACAGGTCTCCTGCATTGCACGCAGATTCTTTACTGTCTGAGCAACCACGGAAGCCTCATTAGCTTTTGGTAATCTCTCATTCCTCTCTCTGTATCTTGGTTTTCACTCTTGAGTAAAGTGGCAGGGTGGCTTGAGTGTGAGATTGGAGCGTGCCTGTGGGAACACAGGACAAAACATCAAGGGGAAATCTGTGAGCTGGTCTTTGTACCTCCTACGTGCAATAAGTGCCAGCAATTCCTTTTGAAAAGTAAAATGTGCCTTACTCCTCTTAAAATTTCTTAAGTTCATCTATCATCGCACCACATCTGCTTATAAGGAATTTTTTTTGGTAATCAAGGAGAACTTATTGTTACTTAGTTTGAATTAGATATTGTTCTCCATGACATACAGGTTCCTACTGACTTGCAGAAAGAGTGTGCAGGGTTCAAACAATCCATTTCCTTGCATACAGTTTGTCTCAGGATAACTTCATTGTGGATTAGAACTCACAGAGCACAATTGCTTAGGATTTTAGAATCCATTTCCTCTACCCCTTTTCCTCCGCACAGTTACAAAACATCTAGCCTACACAATGAGTTTTTTACTTTATGTCTCATTTCCAAAGGAATATGAGATTACTGAGTTGGGTCTAGAGGAGCTGAGCTTGGAGAAAATTTCCATTATTAAAAACCCAAAAACTGATGGCCTGACAAAGGGGTGAGAGGCAATGCTGGACCTCCTATGCTTCTTATCAATTACTCTGTTTTTCATAAGGGACTTTGTCTAAAACACATTTTCATTTACTCAGTTATCATTCCTGAGTTTGCTCCAGTGTGAAATTATCATTAAATTGCTCTCCACCCCCACCCCCGCCAATTTCTGATCTGTCTCTACCTAATAATTTGGGTGGCACATAGTGGCTTGTCTGAGATTTCTTTATCCTTCTATTTGTAATTGCTTCTTTTTGCTGGTCATTAATACGGAGGCGTCCACCTCCTCCTTCTCTCACTCTCGAATTTAGCTTGGGGAAAAGCATTTCCCCCAAATGAAATATTTATTTCTACAGCAAGCTTCTACCACAGTGGGACAAAAATGCCTGTAACTTTTATTTTTTAATCCTACCAAACCCCTACCCCACCTCCATCTCCCTCCCCAGCCCCCCAGTGCACCATCTAGCCCCAGGGTCTATTGATCACACTTATCCTGTAACTCCTCCCTTCCAGGCCTTGGCTCAGGTTGGCTCACTGCTCAAATGCCCTCTTTCTTTGGCATGACCTAGCCAGGCACAGGCTTTGCATCACCCCTTCAGATCCAGGAGTCATCTCTTAAGTTCTTCCTTTTCCCCACCAGCATTCGTTCACTCAGTCACGTGCCCTCTATGTTCCATCTACTGTCCTGAGTCCCAGGAGACAGTGTGATAAAGACAAGGCCCTGCTCTCACAGAACTTGCTTTTGAGTTGAAAGAACAGAATGATGAATGCTACAAAAGGGAGGAAAACCCAGCGTGCTGTGATAGTGAATCGGGGGTGAGGGATGCAGAGTGTCACTTTAAATTGGGTGGACAGGGAGGACCTCATAGAGGAAGTGACCTCACCATTTTTCTTAAGAAGGAGCCACTCTTGAGAAACCTGGGACAAGGACAAGGGCCCACGTAGTGACATTTTTGCTGGGGTTTGTAGAAGAGGGAGCTAGCCAGGTGGTGTGAGGGGAAAGGGCTTTTCTCTCAGAGGAAACCACAAGTGCAAAGGCCCTGAGGTGGGAAGCACTTTGGTATACTGGGAATGGAAGTCCCTTCCCTAAACTGCACCGTATGTGCTGACAAACACTTTCACACACAGCTTTTACAATAGGAGGTGCACTGCTTGGAGGCATCTCTGGAGCTTCCCTCTCCTTTGTTTGTTCCCTTTGCCAGTTTAACACCCTTACCCCTACCTCATCTCCTTCTAGCTCTCTAACCCTTCCCCTTAGCATTCCCCATGAAGGCCCCTGATTAAGTAAAAAGGGCTTTGAAGGGAGATCATCCTAGGATCCTGGACCAACCTCATCTCTGCCCGTCACCAGCTGTGTGACTTTAGGGGAGTTTGTTACATCTCAATGTCTCCTTATTAGTAAATTGGGACTAATAAGGCCTGTCTGCTGGGTTACAGGAGATCAGGCATCTTGAAGGCACTCAGTAAATGGTGGCCATAGCATTATTCTTATTAATGTTCCTTTAATAATAAAATAAATTCAGTTTACTGTGAATTTCAAGTGGTGCACATTCAAGATGTGTTCTATATCCATCAGTCCATCATTTCTCTCTGATCTCCTTGTCACCAGCCTCATCTCTGCCTGGTCCTCTCTTATTAGGCCTCCTGCATGAGCTATTAACAATTTCCTTTTTCTTCTCTTGCAGCCCATTCTCTGCCTGGCATCTAGAGTAGTCTTAAATATTAATCGGATTGTATTTGTTCCCTGCTAAGACCATCAGTGATTTCCCTATTGTGCACACTGGTTGAATCTGAAAGGGACATTTATTTATTTAATAAATGTATGTGGAGGGGGTGGGGAGTGTAGCTGATTATATGTCAAAGAGTTCTCCAATCTAATTGGAAAGGTAATAATTGCAACGCGTGCTAAGTCACTTCAGTCGTGTCTGACTCTTTGCAACCCTACGGACTATAGCCCACCAGGCACCTCTGTCCATGGGATTTTCCAGGCAAGAATACTGGAGTGGGTTGGCACTTTCTTCTCCAGGGGATCTTCACGACCCAGGGTTGATGCTAAAAAAAAAAAAAAAAAAAATCACAGATGACCTACATATTTTTTGGAGATCAGATAACAGTTTTGGTCCCTTTTAAATTGCTGTGTGAAGAATAAGGGATATAACTGAATAAATGAACCAAGTCTGCTCTGTGCAGAGAACTTACGTGTGCAGTGCTGTTTGGCTCTGGAGACACCAAAAGATAATCAGCAACAGTATGGTGACCTCATGCAACAATCTAGGGACATATGTGATCTATATGAAAAGAGAGACACTTGAATGACAAATAGTTTGATACTCAGTGAGAAAGCCAATTAGAGCTCTGGGAGGCAGAGGGGCACCCTGCTTGATGGCCCCAGAGGTCAGGGTATACATAGTCACCAGCCGTGCTTGCCTGGAGAGAGCAAGTTCCTGAGGAATGAAGAGGAATATTCCGGGCCACAGATGGGCAATGTCTTTGGGCTGTAAGACCAGAGGATTCATTTCTAGAGCAATAGATTATGGATCATGTTGTTCAGGAAACTTTTTACAACATTATTTTACAAACTGCAAATCATGACTCATTAGTGGGTAGTGAAAAAAATTTTAAAGGTCTTATCCTAAATTAACTAAATGTAATTTAAAAAATAGAATAGAAAACCAAAGCTTCATATGTAATCAGTGTTGATATGTGAAGACTTTTTTCCTGATACACACACACACACATATATACACCATATATATTTTTTTTGGGGGGGGGAGGGGTGTGCAGTACAAAATGTATTTTTTATTGTGGATCATACCCAAAAAAGTTTAGAAAATACTGGACTGGAGACCAAACTCTCAAAAGCTCCTTCAATACCTCTGTCTCCCATTACACCCAGCATAGGGGTCTGTGTTCTGGCACTTCTGTCTTTTGAGTGAATGCAAGGCCTTGGATTCCAGCCCAAGGAGTTTAAAATTTAACTGGTAGGCAGTAAAAACGTGTCAAAGGTTTGTGAGCAGGAGGCTGACGGCTGTTGTGGCAGATTTATTTAGCAGCTGTACATGGGGTGGCGTGGGGAGAGACGGGTTAGAAGGAGGGGAGTCCAGTTAGGAGACCCTGGGGCTGTGTAGGATAGTCACAGGGGATGGAAAGGTTGTGGCTATAACTATGATTTTTTTTTAATGTGTAGAATAGTCCTCATTTTAGAATCATGCCACTCAACAAAATTTTAGCTCGTCTAATCAAATCAACAAACATATTGATTCTGTGTGGGAAGCGTGTGCCCGGCTGCCGCCTGATCAATTACAGGGAGTTCCTGGAGGGGCTGCATTAGCTCCTGTTAGCAGCAGACTAATCTGGTGAAATGTCTGCCTCAGACGGGAATCCACCTGAATGCTGTGAGGTTTTTAGCAAATCACATCTCACTGATGGGTTTTGATTCAGAGCAGGATGCATGAGAGCTCTTTGGAGATAGTTGTCTTAGAGAGCAGGGCAAGAAAAACAGACACCAGTGAGGGGAAGCCTTCCCACTCAAGGACAGCCGCCTCTCCAGATGGGTTTTGATCCTCCCGGCCCCACTGCCCTTCATTCTTTCTTTGGTTTGTTCGTGTGTCCTAGGGAGCAGCTGGGCCTGGGGGCCTCGAGTCACAGCCACCACGGAGTCCAGCCGAAGCCCCTCCACCGCCACGGCCGCCACCGCCCCTGGCCCCCCGGGACCGGTCTCTCCTGACCAGCGTCACCTTGTTGAAGGTGCTCCTCTGGTTGGTCCTGCTGGGGCTGTTCGTGGAACTGGAATTTGGTCTGGCCTATTTTGTCCTGTCCCTGTTCTACTGGATGTATGTGGGGACGCGGGGCCCCGAGGAGAAGATGCAGGGAGAGAAAAGCGCCTACTCCGTGTTCAACCCGGGCTGCGAGGCCATCCAGGGAAGCCTGACCGCTGAGCAGCTGGAACGCGAGCTGCACCTGAGGCCTCTGCCGCGGAGATAGGACCAGACCGGCGGCGGGCCCCCCGGGCCTCGCACTCCCTGGCTTTGACTGAGAGCAGCTTGCGGGTCAGGTCTGTGACCCCACAGTTCCACACTTCCCCTGACCTCCTGCGACAGTTTTATCTCAGAACTTCTTTTTCATTCTGGTGAAACTCCCGGAAAGACACTGTGGGTCTGATGCAATTTATAAAAATTACACACTCAAGACAGGAGACCTCTTTGTCTCTTTATTTAAGAGAGGCAATTCTTAGAACACTAGGAGGGCTTTGGCGAGATAACTGTTGAAAATATTGAGCTGTTTGAAGTAATGGTTTGTTACATCAGAGCTATGTGTTAAAAGTAAATATTCTCTTTAAGTCTTTTTTTTAAGAATTAGTTACAGTAAGTCCCCTGCATACAAACACCTCTGTTCCAAGAGTGCATTTGTAAGTCCAGTTTGTTCCAAGTCCAACACAGTTAGCCTAGGTACCCAACTAACCCATTTGGCTTTATAGTACTGTACTTTAATAGGTTTGTAATACTTTTCACACAAATAATACATAAAATAGAAAACATTTTTCCTCTTACAGTACAGTAAGAAAAAGTACAAGTACAGTGAGAAAGCACTTGAAAAGTACAGTAGTGTGGCCCGACAGCTGACATACCGGGGCTGGGGTCAAGTGAACGGGCAAGAGGCGTCACAGACTGGAGGAGAGAGAAGTGGGCGACGGCAGAGCTGAAGGGTCATCAGCAATAGGAGGTGGAGGGCAAGCTGCAATGTCCCTCATGCCTGACGTTGATGTCACAGGTTCTGGTTCCTTGCTGGATTCAATTCCACCTGTCCTCTTGAAAACACAGTCTAGTGGTGTCTGAGTAGTAGCTCTTTTTTTTCTCACCATAATGACCTGGCAGCACTGGATTGCATTCTGAATGGCTGCTGCAGACTTTGTGAATTCTTCTACATTCAGGTCCGGTGCCTCAAAAACTTAACAGGGCCTCTCACGGAAAACCCCTTTACTATTTCCTGCGCCATGAAGCTCTTCGGTTCTTCAGTTACTTCTTCTGCTTGTCTCTCTTGGTGCTTTCTCTGGGCCTCCAACTCCAGATCTTCATTAGTAAATTCTTCATGTTGCACAGCAAGGAGTTCAATGCAGTTGTCCTCTTGCAGATCTGGCTTGAAATAAAGAAACTACACTACTGTGCTTATACAATACAGTACACAAAAGCACAACCACTTGTAGAGGATGCACATACATGGCAATATACACCAGACACGTGAAGTGACTTACGAGACCAGACGTGCAAAAACATTCTCACATCTTTGAAAGTTCACAACTTGAAGGTTCGTATGTAGGAGACTTACTATAATAAATTTTTAATTGACACATATTTGACTTACACTGTTATTAATAGTTTCAATTGTACAGCAAGGTGACTCAGTTACATATATATGTGCATGCATGCATGCTAGGTCACTTCATTATGTCCAACTCTTTGCGACTCTATGGACCGTAACCCTCCAGGCTCCCCTGTCCAGGCAAGAATACTGGAGTGGGTTGCCATACCCTCCTCCAGGGATCTAACCTGCATCTCTTATGTCTCCTGCATTGGCCGGTGGGTTCTTTTTATTACTAGCACCACCTGCTGCTGCTGCTGCTGCTGCTGCTGCTAAGTCGCTTCAGTCATGTCCGACTCTGTGCGACCCCATAGACGGCAGCCCATCCGGCTCCTCCATCCCTGGGATTCTCCAGGCAAGAACACTGGAGTGGGTTGCCATTTCCTTCTCCATTGCATGAAAGTGAAAGTGAAGTTGCTCAGCTGTGTCCGACTCAGTGACCCCATGTACTGCAGCCTACCAGGCTCCTCCGTCCATGGGATTTTCCAGGCAAGAGTACTGGAGTGGGGTGCCATTGCCTTCTCCAAGCACCACCTAGGAAGCCTATATATATAGTCTTTTTCAGATTCCTTTCCCATATAGGTGATTACAAAATATTGACTATAGTCCTCTGCTCTGTACAGTAGGTCCTTATTGATTATCTGTTTTATGTGTAGTAGTATGTATCTGCTAATCCAAAATTCCTCCCCCCCCCCACTTTCCCCTTTTAACCATAAATTCGTTTCCTGTGACTATGAGTCTATTTCTATTTTCTAAATAAGTTTATTTGTATTGTTTTTAAGACTACACATATAAGTGATATCATATGATATTTGTCTCTATCTGGTTTACTTCACTTAGTATGATAATCTCTAGGTCCATCCATATTGTTGCAAATGGCATTATTTTGTTCTTTTTATGGCTGAGTAATATTCCATTTTATGTATGTACTACATCTTCTTTATTCATTTGTCAATGGACATTTACATTGCTTCCTTGTCTTGGCTATTGGAAATAGTGCTGCAGTGAACATTGGTGCCCATGTATCTTTCCAAATTATGATTTTCCCTGGATATATGCCTAGGAGTGGGATTGCAGGATCATATGGTAACTCTGTTTCTAGTTTTTTAAGGAACCTCCATATTATTCTCTGTAGTGGCTGTACCAATTTACATTTCCCCCAACATTGTAAGAGGGTTCCCATTTCTCTACACACTCTCCAACATTTATTGTCTGTAGACTTTTTGATGATGGCCATTCTGACTGGTGTGAGGTGATACCTCAGTATAGTTTTGATTTGCATTTCTCTAACAATGAGCAGTGTTGAACATCTTTTCATGTGTCTTTCAGCCATCTGTATGTCTTCTTTGGAGAAATGTCATTTTAGATCTTCTGCCCATTTTTTGTTTTTAATATTGAGTTGTTTGCATATTTTGGAGGGTAATCCTTTGTCAGTTGCATCATCCACAAATAGTTTCTCCCATTCTGGATGTTGTCTTTTCATTTTGTCTATTGTTCCCTTTGCTATGCAAAAGCTTTTAAATTTAATTAGGTCCTATTTGTTTTTATTTCCATTACTCTAGGAGGTGGATCCAAAAAGATATTGCTGCAATTTATATCAAAGAGTATCCTGCCTATGTTTTCTTTTAGAAGTTTTATAGTATCTGGTCTTACATTTAGGTCTTTAATCCATTTTGAGTTTATTTTTGTGTATGGTGTTAGAGAATGTTCTAACTTCATTCTTTTACAGGTAGCTCTCCAGTTTTCCCAGAACCACTTATTGAAGGAACTGTCTTTTTTCTCTTGTATAGTCTTGCTTCTTTGTCATAGGTTAACTGACTATAGGTGTGTGGGTTTATTTATAGGCTTTCTATCCTGTTCCATTGATCTATACTTATCTTTGTGTGTGTGCCAGTACCATACTGGTTTTTAAATATTGTTTATTTATTTTCGGCGGCACTGTGTCTTTGTTGCTGCTCACGGGCCTTCTTCAGTTGCAGCTAGCAGGGCTAACCTCTAGTTGTGGTGTGCAGACTTCTCATTGCAGTGGTTTCTCCGGTGGAATACAGGCTCTGGGTGTGTGGGCTTCAGCAGTTGTGCTGTGTAGGCTCAGTGGTTGCAGCTCATGAGCTCTAGAGAGCTGTCTCCGTAGTTGAGGCACACAGGCCCAGCTGTCCCACAGTGTATGGGATCTTCCTGGACCAGGGATTGAACCCATGCCTCCTACATTGGCAGGTAGATTCTTTACCGCTGAGCTACCAAGGAAGACCTACCATACTGTTTTGGTTACTGTAGTTTTATAGCATAGTCTGAAGACAGGGGAGCCTTATTCCTCTAATTTCACTTTTCTTTCTTAAGATTGCTTTGGCTATTTGGGGTCTTTTTTGTTTCCATACAAATTGTAAGCTTTTTTGTTCTAATTCTGTGAAAAATGCTATTGGTAATTTGATAGGGATTGCACTGAATCTGTAGATTACTTGGCATAGTAAAATAATTTTTGACAATATTGATTCTTCCAGTCCAGAAACAGTGTCTCTGTACATCTGTTTGTGTCATCTTTGATTTCTTTGATCATTTTCTTAAAGCTTTCTGAGTACAAGTCTTTCATCTCCTTAGGTAGGTTTATTCTGAGGTATTTTGTACTCTTTGATGTGATGATATATGGGATTGCTGCCTTAATTTCTCCTTCTGATCTTTCATTGTCAGAGAATAAGAATGCAGGAGATTTCTGTGCATTTATCCTGTATCTTTACCAGGTTCATTGATGAGCACTAGTAGTTTTCTGGTAGCGTCTTTCGGATTTTCTATGTAGAGTATCATGTCATCTGCAAACAGTAATTATTTCTTTTTCAGTTTGGATTCCTTTTATCTCTTTTTCTTCTCTGTTTGCCCTCTCTTCCTGCTCTGTTGGTTGTTTGGCCTGAGATGTTTCAGCACTGGAGCCTACAGGCTTTTGGTTGGGGCCAGGTCTTGGTGCCAAAATGGTGGCCTCCAAGGGAGCTCATACCGATGAATATTCCCTGGTGGAAACCACCAGAGTCCCTGGACCCACAGTAAGCCACGGCTGCCCCATCCTCACTCCACCTCCTCAGGAGACCCTCCAAGACCAACAGGTGCCCTGGCCCAGGCTCCTATGACGTCACTGCCTTTGCCCTGGATTCTAGTACAAGATACTGTGTGCACGCTCGAAGAGTGGAGTCCCTGTTTCACCCAAAGCCCCACTGGCCTTCAAAGCCAGATGGTCTGGGGGCTCCTCCTCATGGTACTTGACCTTTAGACTGGGGAGTCTGGCGTGGGACTCAGAGCTTTCACTCCTGTGGGAGAACATCTGTGATATATTTATTCTCCAGTTTGCAGGTTGCCCACTTGGGGAGTGTGGGATTTGATTATATTGCAAATGCACCTCTTCTCATGGTTTCTTCTTTGTGTCTTTGGATATAAAATATCTTTTTTTTGGTAGATTCCAGTCTTTTTTTTTTCGGGGAGTGTGTGTGTGGGGGGGTCCTTCCCTGGTAGCTCAGTTGGGAAAGAATGCACCTGCAATGCAGGATACCTCAGTTTGATTCCTGGATCAGGATGATCCCCTGGAGAAGGGACAGGCTGCCCACTCCAGTATTCTTTGGCTTCCCTGGTGGCTCAGCTGGTAAAGCATCTGCCTGCAACGTGGGAGACCTGGGTTCGATCCCGGGGTTGGGAAGATCCCCTGGAGAAGGGAAAGGCTACCCCATCCAGTATTCTGGCCTGGAGAATCCCACAAACTGTATAGTCCATGGGGTCGCAAAGAGTCAGACACCACTGAGCGACTTTCAGTCTTTTTGATTGATAATTGTCCAGCAGTTGTGAGTTTGGTGTACTTGTAAGAAGAGGTGAGCTCAAGGCCTTCCTACTCTGCCATTGTGTCTCTGAGTCCTTTCATATCATTTTTATAGAATTTTGCCCCTGAAAAGTTGAAGTTGGAAGTCTTGGGATTTTTCTTGTTTTGGGTTTTCCTGCCCCTCCCCTTTCTGCTGTCTTGCCTTTTGGTTATTAATGCTGTTGAAACATCTGCTTCTCAGAAACAGACTCCCATTTGCCCATCACTATTTATCATACTCCTCAGTTATTCTACCTCCATGCAGTGAAGGAAGATTAGAGAAGACAGTGTTCTAAGTGACAGGTGTGGGGAGAGACTTCACAAAATCAAAAATACTGGTAGATATGATAAGTGGCTATTAATAATGAATCCAGCAAGAAAAAATTCTTGAGTATGTACAAAGGGAAGCTCTCAAAGTGGAACTCCTGACTTATTGGCTGCTTGGGTTGTTTCTTATATTCTAAAGACTCTAGAGTGAGTGATAACTTTGACTGTGGGCCTCTGGTGAGAAATTATGTAAATCGTGGTAATCAGCCATGCTCTCTGTTCTGGCCTTTTCCAGGGCAAGCTTACAGCCGGGGCTCATTAAAATTGGGCAAAGCAAACCATTGAATACTTTTTTTTTTTTAAACACAAATCATACTATTAGTAAGAGGACTCAAGCTTGAAAGCAATAGTTTTTTCCAGACTTCAGATTTTAAGAAATTGAAGTCTTCTTGGTAGGTTTTCAACTTCAGAATTTAGTTATTCTTATTGTGAAAGTAACTTTAATATCTAGGTGTTACTAAATAATGGAGATCTGTTTTTTCTTTTTTTGATGTGGACCATTTTTAAACTGTTTATTGAATTCATTACAATACTGCTTCTGTTTTATGTTTTGTTGTTTTGGCCATGAAGCATGTGGGATCTTAGCATCCCAACCAGGAGTCGAACCCACACCCTCTGCATTGGAAGGATAAATCTTAAACACTTGACTGTCAGGGAAGTCCTGGAGGTCTGTTTTATTTTTTTAATTCTTGCCTGATTTACTTACAGCAAAATCCTAATTTAAATTAAACTTTTATTCATTGAATGCCAACACTCTACTAGGCATTTTCCCAGTTCTTGGAGCATAGAGTCTAACTGGAAATGGGGTAGTGGACAAAAAACAAGCAAGGCCAATAATCGAGTGAGATAAGTTTTAGTTGTAGGAGTGTGGAGCAGATATTCTCATGAATCACACTTAGTGGACAATTAACCTCATGTGTTATATTCAGTAGGTCCTTTTTGATTATCTATTTGATATATATTTGGTTTCCCAGGTAGCTCAGTGTTAAGGAATCTGCTTGCCAATGCAGGAGACCTGAGTTTGATCCCAGGTTGGGAAACAGCAACCCACTTGCCTGGGAAATCCCATGGACAGAGGAGCCTGGTGGGCTAGTGTGTGGGACTGCAAAGTTGGACACGACTTAGCAACTAAATAACAACAAATCCCATGTGTTATATTTAGTAGGTCCTTTTTGATTATCTATTTGGTACATGTTAGTGTGTATATTTAGTGCTCCTTGAATATTTACTTGCATTAATACTCTCCCGCCCCTTCCTGATTGGGAGTTTGTCCTTCAGAGTTATCCCTTGAGCAGAAGGTTCCCTTAGCTCATCAAGAAGTCTTGAGACTTCCCTAGCGGTCCAGTGGTTAAGACTTTGCCTTCCGATGCAGGGGGTGCAGGTTTGACCCCTAGTCAGGAAGCTAAGATCCCTCATGCCTTATGACCAAAATTCCAAAACATAAAATGGAAACAATATTGGAACAAATTCAATAAATACTTTAAAAATAAACTACATCCAAAAAAAAAATCTTAAAAAAAATTTTTTTAAGTCTTTTATTCTGTGACTCCTGCCTGAACTGGACCTGTAGAACGTATGGGAAGCAGATGAATTCCTATTAAACATGCAAGTTTCTATTAAGATACATGATTTTGTCTCTTGATTTATTTTCTTATTTTCTTTTTTCTTCATCTTGATATTTTACTTGGGCTTTTCTATTTCATAACAGCCAGATACCAAGAAGAAATATCTTTCCCTGATCAAAGGTTTGCTGCAAAGCCCAGGGCAATGAGCATTGTTCTAGGAAAGAATTAACTTATATTTTTTTAAATGTATAATTCAGACTTTCACCTAAAACAAAATGCCTATAACTCTGAATTAAGAATGTTTGGTCCAATTAGTAATCCTAGCAAAGCAGAGAGTTCTCTGAAACACAGCACAGAAGAGACTCAATTTAAGAGCCAACCCCACTAACATCGTTTATAATGTCATTTATAATGAGGTGGGGCCTGGATTGCCTTAAACCCACCTTTAATGGGATTTTCTGTGAGTGATTTGTCAACTCTTCTTGTTCATCTCTTCCCAAAGATTGCATGTAACAGGCTGCATTGACTTCTAGGAAAGGTGGAATGTGAACCAATTAAATGCCTGGCAGGGAAAAGATGAAAGGATGGGGGTATGTATTTGCTGTTCTTATCAGCCCATTAAGCTTTAGGTTCAGTCTTTGATTTCCTGAATCTAGAAAGGTCTATTGATCTCAGAATTTCCACTTAGGGCCTGACCATTAGCCCAGCAAACAGCTTCCATTAAAGGCTGCTTCTGCCATCAGGGAACTTGAAATCCCAGAGATGTGTTCAGTCCCTGTGATAGCTGTGTGCATGGATGAGGTCCTCTCCATCCAAGTCTTATGAGTAATGTGAATAAAAGAATGCTTTTATTCTCGTAGGGCTGGAAGAACCCCGCAAATGGCCTCAAATGCATCCCCTAGCCCTGCCTTCCCTGATAGCTCAGTTGGTAAAGAATCCACCTGAAATGCAGGAGACCCTGGTTCGATTCCTGGGTTGGGAAGGTCCCCTGGAGAAGGGATAGGCTACCCACTCCAGTATTCTGGCCTGGAGAATTCTATGGACTGTATGGGGTTGCAAAGAGTTGGACACGACTAAGCGACTTTCACCCCTGCCTTGGTCAGGGCTGCGTTTGATTCCTGACTAAACATTTTCTTTCCTAGTGATCGCTAAAGAAGACAAATCCACGTACAAGTTCAGGCACTAGTTAGGCAGTTCTTTACTGAAAGAGCTTGAGCAGCCCCGGGTTGTTTCTTTTTCTTCTGATCTCAGTGGGCACAGAGCATCCTCCCAGTTGGTAAACCATCACTTAGTTCTCTTAGTCATCTTTCGTCTTTGGGCTAAATCAGCCCAGATTGTACCTCTGGGGTAACCATTTCAAGCTATCCCTGACCCATTCTGCAGGTGCAGGGTCTGGGTGACGTAAATGTCCCAGTTGGTGGGTGCGGTGACGTTTCTCAGAATCTCTGGCATTTTACCAGTGATGATTTAGGCATGTATGTCTTGTGCTATTAGGATCGTGCTTTGAGTCCAGAAAGTTTTCCACATTTGCCGTTTGACTGATCTATGCATTAAGATTAAACTCACAAACTCTGTGCCAAAAAAAAAAAAAAAAACCTAGGAAGAGTTACACAGTTGGCAGAATCAGTGATTCTCAGTTAGGCAGAAAGTAAAATTTTAGCTATGTGTTTTTATTTCCTGCCACTCACACTGTCAACCTATTTGCCAGCAAATATTTGTAGCTGCTCTGAGCGTGGTGCTGCTGGGGACACGTAAATGAGCCTCTCCAGTCTGTCCCCCACGGTGAGGGACAGGAGGCAGGGTGGGGCCGGGATGCCATTGAGCATCTTGCCACTAGGGGGTAGCATAGAGCTGCAGCTCTTAAGTCGTGGGTCCCTTCGCCTCACACCTAATAATTTATGTAATATAGAAAACCCTCTGGAATGTTGTCTGAACCACGTGTATTGCTTTTTCAGACTTTCTCTTCACTTTAAGATTCACAGAGGAAAGAACTCATCAGAGGTCCTGGGAAAGGCTAAGAAAGCTACCAGAGTGATTTATACACAGACTTTAAAATAAAACCCTCTCTCTAGACCTGGCAGGCAGTATTGCAGTTGAGGAGGTCAGCACAGTGCTTGTCCACATCTGAGCTTTGCGGGGGGGAAAAAAGACAAAGAACTCACCCAGCTGGCAGAGAAACTTGATCCCTGAGCCAAAGGAAGTCAAATTTGAACTGTCTGCTTTGGTTTTTGAAACACATACTTTTATTTCCCCGCATTGGAGCATTGTGAGTTGGTGGAGAGAAGCCTTTGAAGTCACATTTGTCAATGCAATCCTCACCCTTGGAGGTGTGTCTTTTGTTTGGTAGGTGGGTTTATCTTACCAGCCCCTATGTGGTCTGGCCCCTGCCTGCCTTTCCCGGTTACATTCACCTCCTTCATATTCATTCTACACAGAAGTTTGGGATACTAAAAAATAAAAAGCCAGACAGTAAATAGTCTTGACTACTCAACTTTGCCATTGTGGAGCAAAAGCAGCCATAGAATGAACATGAACAAATGAGTATGCCAATAAAACTTTATTTATAAAAACCAGTGGTGGGCCATTGTTTGCCAACTCCTGCTCTCTTAACACACCAAATAGACTTCTGCTTTAGGCTGTTTGCTTAGAACTCACTTCCCCAGATGATCCTAGGACTTGTTCCCTTACTCTGTTCAGGTCTCTCAGATGTCATGTCATCAGAAAGGTTTTAATCTAAAACAGAGCTCTGGGGCTTCCCTGGTGGTCCACTGGTTAAGAATCTGCCTGCCAATGAAGGGGTCACGGATTCTATCCATGGTTTGGGAAGATCCCACATACCACAGGGCAACTGACTAGTCCCCACAACTACTGAAGCTCACATGTTTCACAACAAGAGAAGCCGTCACAATGAGAAGCCTGCACTCACCACAACTAGAGAAAGTCTGCACACAGCAACGAAGACCTCACACACCAAGAATAAGTGAATGATCGAATGAATGAATTACAAATAAAACTCTGCTCCCATATCTCCATTTTCCCCCTCCTCTCTCCTATGATAAATACTTCATGGAGTTGCTCTACTAATAATATTGATCACATTTTGGTAACTCTTGTGTGTTTATAGCCAGAAAATTTTTTTTTCAGAGTATCTATTATATGTGTTGCAGGCCGTTTATAATGAACAATCTCTATGGACAGAAATAGCTCTGCTATGCAGAGTTTGTTTTCATTGTATTCCTCTAACGACTTTCCCCCCTGAGATTTAGACTGAGTTTGGCAGAGCCAAACATATCATATGGTGAGTTGGCACAGGGCGATGTGAAAGAATGGCTTTTTCTAGATCCTCATTCATGTTTTTGGCTCTTCCCATAGATTATAAGTTCTGCCCTATATGTAATTTTCACAGAACTATTTATGGAAAGAGGAGAATTTCTTAGAAAATTTTCATGTCTCCCAGAAGCAGAGGAAGCCACAAGGCTGGTCAATACAAAGTGAACAGGGAAATTGGGAGGTGATCAGAAAGGAAATTCATGTCAGGAGCTGACAACTTTGGAGGACACAGCTCCAGGGAGGAGAGAGACGTCAGATCCTAGAGTCCACTCTGGGTGTCCATGATCTTCCTGCTGAAGCCTTAGGAAATCTACGTTAGTACACCACTTTGAGGGCAGCTGAGCAAAGTCTCTCCATGTGAGTGGCTGATGCAGAGTGTGTGTGCTACACTTCATGGAGATGACACCAATACTGGAATTCGGGTGACTTGACATATTTTCAAGGGATCTATACCATGGATGCAAAGTATCTCAAGAGCTGTTGCATTTCTAATGTAAAGAGTGACACCAGGATTAATCCAGTGAAGGAACCTAAAAGGCAAGGGACCCATCCTACTAGAAGAGAGGCTGTATCTGAAAAGCAGGAAGAGTTCAAGGTAGGAGAATGTGAGAGAACTGCGGTTGCAGGTGATGCTAAGACTCCATGGACATGGCATCTTTTCTGAGCTTGTGGTCCCATCGTACTTTGATTGGCAGTCTTCATGATCTTTACCAGTTTCTAAAAGAAGGTGTTTTTGTAAATGTCTTATGTAAATATGGTGGTATGGATGTTTTTCTTGATTGCTAAGAAATTATGCTCAAGAACTATACTGTGTTCTTAAGGTAACATGATTCTTTTATGTGATATGAATGCACATAAGATGCCTTTTCATCTGTACTGTTAACTGTATCTTTCCAAAGGATACTATTGGAAAGACATTGATTTAGTGTAACCAGAGTGAGATGTCTTTACTTGGGTATATGTTCTCTACTCTCTGCTTCCCATACCAGGATTTGAAAGATGAAAGATCTTGAAGGTAGTTTCATTGTGTGTTTTTGTTTAGTTGCTCGGTTGTGTCTGACTCTTTGCGACCCCAGGGACTACAGCCTGCCAGGCTCCTCTCCATTTCCTCCTCCAGGGCATCTTCCTGACCCAGGAATCAAACCTGCTTCTCCTGCAAGTCTCTTGCATTGCAGGCAGAATCTTTACTGCTGAGCCACTGGGGAAGCCAGTTTCATTGTAAAGTGGCATCTAATTAGCAGGTACCCGTGGGGTTCAATGAAAATAGTAAATTCAGTCTCCTAGGAATTCTGAAGGTTCTGAAATTTCTGGAGGACAAAATACATGGCAATAAAACACTAGTCTTTTAAAGCCAGAAATGTACACAGATGGTTATAGATCGTTGAAGTTTGGACCTAAAAGGCAGGAAAACCATGGCCTTTTCGTTGTAGCTATTAAACTTGCATTCCCAAGTCTTGAACTGTGTTTCTAACTGCACCTTAGGTCTTTGGAACCAAAAAGGCTTCTGTAAACATCTATTATTTAAGTCCTTGTTCTTTCATCCAAGAGATATGGAAAGTTTAAAAAAAAAAAAAGAAAAAACTCCTTGCAATCGCTCCAGGTGTTACCAGCCTGCTTCAGCCCCAGAGAGCTCCCATCCTTTCGCATGGGACTGTTCAGTGTTTATAATCCTCAGCTATTGATTTTATTCTTGGAGGTTGTAACACCGATAAATTCTGAGGTCTATTATAGGTCCGACATGAGGAAGAGCCACGGTAATTCATTCTCACACTGGAGCCCTGGATCAGTAGGGGGAAAATTTTTTTTTTTTATTGCATTTGCTCTAGGCTGTGGGTCTTTTTCTAAAATCATTATGTTAGTTAAAATGAGCCTTTGTACCAAAGAAAATAATCTATCACAGCTTGGGATTAGAGAACTCTCCAGGGGAAGAGCTCAGATTTATGGAAAAAGGAGTTAATAACATTGACTAGACGGCCCCCGACTTGGCCCGCTGGAGTTCACCACTTGTAATCCTCATTCTTTTTTGCACCTCTGCAATTTCCTCTCCTCTTTACTATGGCTCTTTTTCACATTTAAGCAGCCTGCTGTTTTTCGTTATTCACTTTGCTCATGTTCCATCTCTTCATCGTCTCTTTCCCACCTGTCCTTCCCACCCTTGGGGATACTCAGTTTCTTCTCCTTCCTTGTCCCCGTATGGACTCTATTTTCCCTATTCTCCAGTTCCCTGGCTACATCTGTCATCTATTCCAGTTTGTACTGTGGTTATTTTCCCCCACTGTTTCTGGCAAGGGAGACCTGTTTTCAGTATTTCTCTTTAGAGAAATGTGTGTGTAAGAGAAAGAGGGAAGGAAGAAAGGTGGGGAGAGGTTGAAAGATACTGATCAGCATGTTTACGGCATAGGCTTTTGAGAGGATAGTAACAGAAGATTCTGGGTTGGGGTGGGGGGATTCCTACTCCTTGGGAACATCAGCACTCTTGGCAGATGAGTGAGATCCTTCACAAATTCTGCATGGAACTCATTTATCCCCACCAGTGAGGCATCCGTCCCTGGCATGTGGCTTCACATCACATGTGAACACAGGTGGGCCTGGGGGCCAGGGGTTCTCATTTATTTCCCCCGGGGCTGGCCCTCAGCAGAGTGGGCCGCTCTGCTTGCGCTTTCTTTAGGCTGGAGCTAAGCCCTGTGAAGCCACCATGCCCCTTTCCCTGCGTCATTGTGACTGCCATGTCACACAAATGTGGTGGTCATCACTGGCTTGGGCAGGTGTTTTCCTGGGGGTGGGCATGGGAGAGGAGCACTCCTGGCTCCATCGTGCTCCTGCTGAGTGGCAGAGCAAAGACCCAGAAAGACGAGACTGTCAACAGGGGAGTGAAAGAGGCTGAAAGCAGGATTGGTACAGACAGCTCAGACACAGATGTTCTGCCTGCACATCTCAGGAGCTGGCTGTATTTGTAATTTGCTCTCAGACTCAGATTTAGGACTATCATGCCTGAAAGGGACAATTCCCACAGCTTGTCTAAAAGAGAGCTGTGTTTAAGGAGATATTTGGATAAGTGTAGTGATCTCTAAGCGGGGGGGTGACTGAAATGGTGGAGGGCTTAGGGAGAATCTGCAATTCCCCTGCTCTTCTGTGAGAGCGAGTCACAAATTAGGGGAAAAGTTCATTTTTCCAAAGATGAATCTCTTAACGGGCAGCTCTATTCAAATTCTGTGGCCGCTTCGCAAACACGGTTTGTGCTTTTTTAGAAGATGGATTTAATGGACTGAGTTCATTTAGACAGGAGATCAAATGAATGAGCGGAATTAGAATACACATCCATTTGGCTGCCAGTCATTGTGTAAGCCACTCGACCACCTGACTTCTCTAATTAAATGACATTGCAGTCCCTGCACAAAGGCTGCGATGGATAAATTAGTAGTTGGTAAGTGCTTTGAAGATGAAAATCACGATATGAGTAATGAGCCAGAATTTTTCCTCCCCCGGGGCTGGAAATGGCATCTTTTGTGTTTTCCTGCTACACTGTGAGTCCCCTGGGTCAACGTTGCAGGAAACCTCCTCCCCCCAAGGAAGAGCAGGAGGGACACAGTAAGGACAGGCTTTTATTTGACTTACAAGGCAGATTAGGAAAGAGTGTGAATCCATTCGCATCTGTACACGAATTACATGCCGTACACATTTGCTACCTGTAGTCGCAGGTCATATTTTACATGAGTTTATATGTTAAG